GTGGATTGCTGTAGAATACAAGAACTTATAGAGTATGGCACACTAGTACTCTTCAAAACTCAAGCAAATATTGATTTCTTGAAGAATTGCTTGGAAGTAATGTTGAAGGATCAAAAGTATGAATTGAATTGCTTGGATGTTTTTTGAAGAATATGTTTGAATGAATATAAAATTGTTCTCCAAGCAAAAGAGCCGTTGTATGTGAGTTATGGAAGATAGGGATGAATAACTTCCTTAAAAAATGGTAAATTTGCAGTTCAAACTGACGACTTATTCGAATAAAATCAGATTTATCCGAATAGTTTTGATAAAACAGGAATTTAGAAAACGCAGTTCTTATTCGAATAAATCTTATATTTATTCGAATAAACCAAGGTGAACTGAAATTCTGGGAAGCTACTTATTCGAATAAATAACCATTTATTCGAATAGTTTTCAAAAGTCTGGAAAAAATGGAATCAGCACTTATTCGAATAAAATAAGCATTTGTTCGATTAAAACAGACCGAGCTGCAATCTGCAGAGGTCCCTCTTATTCGAATAAATCATCATTTATTCGAACAAAAGCCTGGGAAAACATAGTTTTAAAAAAAACATTTTAAATAACAATAAAGAAGGAATTCTTTTAAGAGAAATAGAGAATTTTGAAGAATAAACAGGTGCCACACACTTTAACAAGAACTAAGACTTAAAAAAATGTAAAAGATCTAAAAACCTTTTTAACACCAATTCTAGTCTTGGAGCTCGTAAGCCAATTCTTGTCTTGGAGCTCGTAAGCCGACTTGCAAGATAATCCCTACGAAATGATCCAGGTGACTTGATTCAAAGATCCAAAGCTTATCCCACATATAAGGTTGTCATTATCAAAACACAAGGGTCAACAAATTCCCCCTTTTTGATAATGACAAACCCAATCAAAGAATTGCTTGAGCTTGTGTTTGTCAAAAATGCAAAGTCCTGTCTCATAGGCAATAACCAAAACAATAGCAAGCCAAAACAATAACAAAACCAAAAAACAAGTCATACAACTACTTCCCCCTGTTTGTGTGCCACCTATCAAGCACAAGCAAATAGCAACACATTCACATTTCCCCCTTTTGTCATAAGCAAAAAGGAAAGAGAAACACATAGGATAGCACAGTCAAAATCACAAACACAAGGGTTAAGCTAAGGGTAAGTGCAAAAAGAGAGAATGGAAAGCATAAAGGAATGAAAGAGTCAATAAGAACAAAAACGGAGTCCCAACCACTCATTCCTCATCCATGGTCGCTTCTTCTTGTGCAATATCATCCTCCTCTTCATCATCCGCATCGTCTTCATCATTATCAGCATCAGAAGGAGCGGTATGAGAAGAAGAACCCTGAGACATGTAAGGTGCGAGCGCTTTCAAGGATGGTTTTTCCCATTGCTCGCCACTCTTGACAAACATCTTATTCAAGTTATAACCGTAAGTGGCCTGTTGGAGCTGGATGTTGTTGAAGGAGGATTGGAGGCTTTGCAGGGACTCAAAAAGCATAGGCAATGTGACCTTGTGACCCCGGGAAGCCACATGTGACTGAGAAGTTCCGGTTTCTGCACGTGCTTCATCTTCGCCATCAAGCTTGGTTCTCATTACTGTTGACCTCTTGATTCTCCAAAAAGGAGTTTCACTATCCATCTCGGCATGCACAAATTCAAATCCCTTCCTTTTCAAAAGATAGGTGAGAAGCATGGGGTACGGTAGAGATTTTTTCTTTGCCCGGCACAAGTTCATGTATGTCAAGATGTACTTCCCCCAATTGATAGACACCGGCTTCAAGATTGCATAGATAAGCATGGCATCATCTTTGCTCATTTGAGGGTGATTGCCCGAGCGCCCACGCAGGATATAGGAGGAGATATATTGAATGAGGCGTTGAGGAGGTTGCATTCCATTCACCTTGGGCCGTCCAGATTCATTGAATTTGGGTCGAAAATCCATCACTTCCCAACACTTTTGTTCATCAAAATTATACCACGGGTTTTGATCATTATTTTGGGTAGTGAGCTCCTTGTTACTATTCTCCATGCCAAACATCTCATTCAATTCACCACTAGAAATAGTAACCTCTTTACCACAAAACTTAGAAATAATCACATATTGATGATTTCTACGCTTGAAAGTCATATCGGAGTAGAAAGCTTTAATATAATTAACCGGGATATGAGATTCATGAATTGTCACAACATTTATCAACCCCGAAGAACGAAGCTTAGACAAAACT